GGTATGACAGGCAAATGATGCGTTTAGGCTCATTAACTCATTGGAAGGAAAAAACTGCTCGACGTAAGTACTGCAGTCCATACATATGGAAGAAGTCGAAAGAATAGCAAAAATGTCTAGGGAGAGTAACCTTTGCGTGTCAAAGCAACGGCGCGACTATGCCAATTTAGAGCAGCCCATGAGGATGAATTTACATGCATCGATGTGCATGGGGATTCGAACACTGTGGTGATATGTACTGATGTGCGTAGATCATATAAAGATTTGAATATGGTTAGCACATTTCATTTGATCGGTTAAGCTATGTATCAAAAACAATGAAAAATGGAAGCTACTCTCTTCCATCAAAATACCACTAACTTAGTCTGTACTCGAACAAGCATCGTTCATATTAGCTTTGAACGCTTAGCTAGCCTTGGCCTTTTCCATGAAAGAAATATGAAAAGAAGTGGGCTTTTCAAAGCATCCTAATAGCTTCAAGCGGAAACACACCATGAATAGTTCGTGGCTAACGCCACGCACGTCTTCATCAGCAAAAAATTCTCGTGCCCCTTCCCCTCCCCTCCCCCTCCCCCTGAACAAAATCCTGGATTCGCTACTGATATTATACAGACAGAAAGTCATCTTATATATAAAGCTGAATGTCTGTTTATATGTTTGTCTGTATGTCTGTCTGTATGACTGTACGTATGTTCCGAATAGAAAACTCCATTTCTGAACCGATCCGGACCAAACTTAGCACACATACACTTCGGGCCCCGGCGAGTGTCATAGGCTACTTTTCGTCACGATATCGATTTTATCGATTTTTATCGATTTTCTGCAGAGTTCACCTACGGGGCTGGGAGTTGGCACAGGGGGGTAATCGAGCATGGGGATTCCGAATACAACATTAGTTTGGCGCTATTCGGCTATCCGGGCCCCAAAATTTTTTTGTGGTAGAGCTTGCTCAAACTTCGTGTATAAGGGTTATCTTAAGGGCCGGGCATACTTCAAGCAATTTCAATCGCGACGCAATTTGGCAATATTCCAGGTGTCCATAACTCATGGTAAACACATTATAAATGTACAGAAGATAGGGCATTTTGTCAGTTCACGTAAGTTCAACACACTATTCATGTGCAGTCTGCTAAAGTTGGATCCGAAGACTTCTGGCGAATTGCCAAATCGCGTCGCGACTGAAATCGCGTGAAGTATGCCCGGCCCTTTACATGCTGATTACAGGTATCACGCTTTCTCCGCAGAACGTCTTCCCGTGTGGTTACGATAGGTGTACGGTAGGAAGTCAAAATCATGAATTCGGCTGGAGTTCGGTCCATATGGCTTATTCGACATGCTAATTACGAATATCATCTCTCTCTCTGCATATTGGGACCTTTTCATAGAGATGTGGTGGTTATACGGCATGGGGTCGAAAACATAGATTTGCTTTGAACTTCGTCTAGGATAGTCATTTAGCGCGCTGAACATGAATATCATGCTGATTTCGCGTGATAGTGCATTTTCTTGGGTTACGGTGGGTGTACAGTAGATGGGTCGAAGTTCCAGATTTGCTCGAAACCTTACCTGTAACGTTCACAAGTATACTGCATATGAATGTGCGCTTACTCGCTGTCATAACGCATTATTGTGAAGTTATGGTGAGTTGCAGGGTTTGAATTGACTTTTTTTTCGCTTTCGGGCCAATTTAGACCCCATTATTCACGAAATGGGGAAACGGTCGTTTTGCATGGCGGTGTCCAGCGCCATCCTGATAACCTATCCCAACGCGTAACGCACGCGGCAAATCTCCCTCCCCCTGTTTTTGCTTGGGCAAAAGCCGCCGAAAAGTGTATCGCGCGCGGCAGTGGTCCTATGAGGGAAAGCATTACGGTCGTGGGAAACTTTTATATCACACGAAATGCCTTTATCGTGGGGATTGTGCACGATATTCTTGAAACAGCACTTTGGTAATTTTCTCCCAAGGTTTCAGGCAGGTTCATGATTTTTACCTGCTGCCACGCGAAATAACTACGATATTCGTCATCAGCGGCTTGTAATAACCCCCTTATATCGAGTTTGAGCAAGATCCACCTCAAAAACATTTTAGGGCCCGGATAGACGAATAACGCCATCAGTTTTCTGAATTATCCTTACTTTTTATCGATTTCATTGTTTTTTTTGCAAAGTTTGAGCTGCGGGGCTGGGGGGTTGGTGAGGAAGGTAGGTGAGCATACTGATCACTCACACAGCGGGAATAGGGAATTGCATGTAGAAGTGTGCACAGGCAAAAGTGTACAGGGATAGAAATGGAATCTTTATCGTTTTTAACAGGGCTGAGCGGAGCCGGGTAAGCCAGCTAGTACTAACTAATTTTGAAGAGAGTCATGATCTGTTAAAAAGGAGGTTCCAGAAAGAAACTTTTTTCGCTTATCGGTCGATAATTTTCTGCTCTTTTGTGATATGATTATAAAAGGATGTGCGCTGTATTGAGAAAAATTCGCTGCTTTTGATGATCTTTATCAGGTTAAAAATATGAATTTTCAAGAAAGTTATAGCACGTCAAAGTGAGCGCAAAACGCGCATTACTTTTGCACCTTCTAATACAGTAAAATTTCGAGCCTAATGAGCTCCAATAACCGAGTGCAGCTTGTTTGCTAAAGGACATATGGATAAATTTTCTGTTTGGGTAGTGTTAGCAAACGCAGGAATAGTCTAGTGAGATGTTGTTTTCATTTAAAGGTCCGGCACCTGTAAAATTGACAAGAACGTCTATCTATACATCACGCTGCAGATTTATATCGCGACATGAAAGAAAGCTAGAAAAGCATTTTCTTCGCGACACAACTTTCAAAATTGTTGATTCGAAAATATAGAGCAGAAAATTTGATTCTTAAGGAATTACTGTGGTAAAAGTGTCAAAACTTTTGTTTAATTGAATCTGCGTATATCGTTATGCTATGCCTTGAGATAAGTTGCAATTTGTCTGTGTAGCATATCTGCGGGGAGTCAAGTCAGTCTCCCCTTCCCCCTCATTGTTCTCGTGATATACTGCCTTGATATCTTGTCCGATCGCTCCTCGTCACGGTGTTCCGGCAACAGAATCTCTGAAAAGAGTTTTGCACCATTCAAGTATCAGATCTTTCTCGAAAAAGTATTGGAAAGAAGTTAATCTTTGTTGCCTAAGTGAATTAGAGTCGGCTAGTGGTGTAATGGTATGAGGCATCGCTATGGCCAGACCGGCCACAGGTTCGACCCCGCGCCTAAGCCAGAGCCCTTTCTCTCTCCGAAGCATCCAACTTGGTACCAGAGAAGTCCGGGAGGATGAAGCACTGATTTGGTAATAGGCCGGGCCCTCCAAATGACTACATATAGAGGGCTCATACGCATTCATTAGCCCGTTCAACTATTAAGTGGAGTGCGTTCGGCGCAAGCCCTGAGAAAGTATTGAAGAAGCCGAATCCTGAATCCCTCTGAGTTAGGGTCGCTCATTCCAATATAAGCGGTACGTTTCCTTAGACATGTGAAATAATTACGCCAGGTATACTCATGAATCATATACAGAACTTATTAAAAATCTAACTTCAAGGGAAAAAGGGCTTTGGTAGGCGCGGGATCGAACTGTGTCCGATCTAACCGTAGCAATGCCTCATACCATTACGCCACTAGCCAACCCTAATTCATTTGGTAACAAAAATTAACTTCTTTATAATACTTTTTCAGAAAAGATCTGATACTTGAATAGTGCAAAACTCTTTTCAGAGATTCTGTTGCTGGAACACCGTAACGAGAAGCGATCGCTGACAAGACATCAACGCAGTATATTACGAGAACAATAAAGGGGAAGGGGAGACTGACTTGATACCCTGCAAATACGCTACACACAGACCAATTGCAACTCATCTCAAGGCGTAGCATAACGATATACGCAGATTCAATTAAACAAAAGTTTTGACACTTTTACCACAGTGATTCCTTAAGAACTGAATTTTCTGCTTTATATTTTCGAATTAATAACTTCGAAAGTTGTGTCGCCAAGGAAATGCTTTTCTAGCTTCCTTTCGTGTCGCGGTATAAATCTGCAGCGTAATGTATAGAAAGACGTTCTTGTCAATTCTACTGGTGCCAGACTTTTAAATGAAAACCATATCTCACTAGACTATTCCTGCGTTTGCTATCAACACCAATCTTTACAAGATTTGTATGTGTTGGCACATTTCCGACTTTTTTAGTAGTTAGTCAGTCACTTCAAGATACTACCTATATCAGTGAGCGAGACCCCATCAGAACTTTTCCACACTGGAGAGTTATACGTCATCAAATCTGTGTGTGACTAACATTAGCACACTTTGGTGTTTCCAAGCTACTATAGATAGGACCTTTATGTAAAAAAAAAACTATGAATTGGACTCAGTCACAATCATTCAGTAATCATGATGTTCGCAGTTGACGCTTGCCGACCTCAGATCCTAAGTTTGTTCATAGTGACAACTACTTCACAGGCCTGCAGTACCGGCCTAGTTCTTTTGCTCTATGCTCGCCTACGAAGATTTTATTTCAGGAATCTCGAAGAAAATGTGGAAGCAAAACATGATATTGCACCAGCACTATGCTATGAAATCTTAAGTGGCAACTACCAATGACTGTACTAAAAGGTACGTCAGATGTATGATAAAAATTATCTTGTAGGAAAACTTGATGTAAGACTCGCAACAGCAACGATTCCACGATCATACTACCGTTCGACCGTCTTTTCTTGGGGATCAGGTGATCCAGCATCGTCGAATTCGCCGGCGCGCATCTTTTGCTCGTACCTGATTAATAGGTCATCAAATGCTACACAACAATACAGCAAAGGAAGAACGATGAAGGAATGCTACAACCAGCTACCTATCTAACAATAAGTGGACGAAAGATAACATGCTCTAATCGATTAGCGCTGGGGTGCGACATAATTTCCCCCCAGGGTCCGCGGCCGATTATGGGGTTCGTTGGTCATTGCCGGACGACTTTGTTCCAACTTACGTTTTAGCGGCTTTGCAAACTGCTTCATTCAATAACGTCTTCAATTTTTCGGCAACGTCGTGCTGCTTACGCCATCTTCTTAGACTACAGCTAGTTACATTGAGAGCAGGCGATCCGTCTGATCGTTCAGTTATTTGACCTAAAGGCATTGCTTACTTTTCTTCTGTATTAACACATGTAACATCTGGACCTGCAACAACAGCAACTGGATCACGCTCAAGTCTGCGTCTGCATTTCCCTGTGTCATACAACAAGAGAGTTACGGTCTGGTTTTCGACTACACCTGCATTCTTTTCTATCTGAATAGTCACAGGTTATCAACTACTCTTGGAGCCTTAACTTGCAATACTTTGTAAATGTCTGTTACAGTCACCGTATAAATTTGATAGAGTGCAGGACTGTCTTGCAGCGTTTCAATAGTGTTGAGTTTGAGTTTGAGGACTAAATATATAGTATAAATTCAAAAGCTATCCATGCTCCATAGAGAAATCCTAATTCTTAGTGCTGATACTTATTTTCAGTGGCAAGATATGTAAAATTCTTTGAGTACCAAAGAAGCAACAAACCTCATGCTTCTAAAATATCGAAATTTACACGACGAAAACTGAATTGATAGTCGCTTTTTGAATGTTCTTAATAACTCACCAAAACTAGATTCACAAAAATCCAACATCATTGCATGATCGCCACTTCTACAATCCTTACAAGTTCCCACCGTGAGTTCCTCTGAGCTTGACAATGATGCACTGGAATCGCTGGAAGTTCCCTCTGAGGGAGGAGTGTTAGGGTTTAACACGGTGGTAGGAGCACTGGGGTTTATTTGGTTTTTGTAGCCCTGGTCACTGAGAACTTTTCTATACTCCTTTAAGACTTGATCGCAGTCGATCTCCTTCGAATAATACCATCTGGATACTTGGACGTTAGGCCTCCATAAGCGATAATCACATTTGTCCATCCTGATCGTTATATCATTATTCACTATATTCAAAAGGCCTGAAATTATCCGATGCCAAACTATACGAACTAAACTACGTTAAGTTCAAAGTAGACCTCACCTCCAATCAGAATACCACCTTTAAAATTATTATGACTTGGAACCTCAGCTTGACAATCCTTTGAGTAAAGCAGCTGAAGAATAACCTGCTTGCCTTCGAGGAAATCCTTTCTATAATCCTGCCGTTTTGACTGAAAGTTGTGAAAAAGAAATCCTTGCATATCGGAGTGTTTTATAGAATTTTGTAAGGACCTCGCCTAGCTTATAAACAGTCCTGATAGTTGCCTCTACTCCTCTGTAATAGTGATCATCTTCTATAAAGATTCTGATACTTCGTTCAATTCCGACTAGCACCTCTGCGACTAAACGAAGAAACTCAATAATTGCTTGTTACTTTTGGAAATGTGTGCAAAAGTATGGTAATAGCTTGGTGCAAAGACAACAGGCGTTTCACAAGTTATCGGTTGTGTCATACGCAAAAGTTATCATAACATTTTTACACTATTCGCAATCTGAATGGGACAATTTATTAACTATCTTAAGAAAACGAGATGCTAGTGAAAATAAAAGAACGTTTGTTCCTCTGAAGGAAGCACTGTCATGCCAGCAGGCAACTTGAGGTATTGAAGTTTAGAAGGCTATTACAGTGATGTAGCCATTCAATCAAACTACGAGTGATTAAATTTTTAGGCTTTGTCTTCTGTTTGAGGCTCTAGTATATCAATTCTTTGTGCGTGAGTAACTTTATAAACGAAGCATTGGGGAGCTGCCAGCTACTCAGGGACTCGCGCCGTGCGGGCGGCAGCGACAACCTTACAATCGCTCGTTGGTGTGTGCGATTGCACGGTCGTCAAGGGCCGTTGGCACGGTAAACGTGGGGCGCAAGCACGGTTTCTGATGCTCCCCGCTTGCGCGGGAAAGGTCGGCCGCTCGCTTGCTGTTGGAGTAAATTCAAATAGGATATCTTGGCTATTTTTCTTGGATATATTAATCCTTCTGGGAACATGGATCGATGAGTGCAGCATTGTCTAAACTTCTCATAAGGAAGCTCACATCATCACTCTTGATAACTGTGGCCTACAAAGGTTTATTCCAGCCTTGCTGGTGAAGGAAAATGTTGGTGATACGATATGTCAACGCTTAGCTTGCCTAAACGCTGCGTCGTATCTCACCGCAGGTACCGTTTACGCTCACAGTGTGAAAATAGTGAGCAGAATATAGTGGCCATTTGGCCGCTTGCACGGCAACAGTATTGCCGACCGATAAGACGGACATTGCCGGCCGCTCGCTAGAGCAACTGTATTGCATGCCGTTTGCACGGTAACATTGCCTGCCGCTAGGACGGCGCTTCAGCTGTTTGCCGCACGCACGGAAGCTTTACGCTTTTGTCGACCGCTTGTACGCTAGCCCTTATAGAAGGACCGCTCGCACGGCGCGAATCCCTGAGTAAGTACGTAGTGCGCTGAACGCTCCGTCCCCTACTTATAGGGAAAGCTACCTACCTTAGCACGGCCTTTTGGTAAAAGGCATAAATGTTCTCAATCAGCTTCAAACGCTGATTCCAAATATGCTATTCCTAGCTGCCACGCACCATTTCGAAGCGAGTTATGGGCCTTTCGCAACACAAAATTGGCATACTACTGGACATGAGAAGACTGCTTGTAGGTGAAAATCTGCAAGAAAAAGGTGCTGAGGTACCGAAATAGTACAAATTCAATCTTTTCTCGCTAAAAAAGCTTAACGCATGTGTACTAGCACTTGGCAGATGATGCCGTGATACCAGTGAGTTGATGAGTATGCCAATTTTGCACAGGAAAAAAGCCCATAAGTCGCTTAGGAAGGTGTGTGCCAGGTAGGAATAGCATATTTGGAATCAGCGTTTGAAGCTGATTCAGACTATGTATGTCCCTTGCTGAAAAGCCGAGGTAAGTTAGGTAGCTTACCTTGTTAGTTTGATAGCACAGGAGTGCGTTGTGGCTGTTGGAAAGGCTCTCTAGTACCTTACCCATGTTTTTACTGTTGTTACAATTCAAAACTTATGTATATATTGCAAAAGTTCTATAGATTATTGGACCAAACAGCATCATCTCTCATTTTGAGCTAATTCGCAAGCTCCTTTGATCTACCCTTTTTGATATACATTAGTTTTCTGTTCTTAATGGGTTCAAATCACTTATTTCGTTGGAACTCACCAAGAATTTTGTTTTACTGCTCAAAAGTTTTTCTTTACTTCACGTTGTATATTTATCATCAAACTGAGCGTTTCAATTTGCTATACACTCTATGTGTCTTGTTCAAGAAAATGTCAACTTGTCAAAAAAATCATTATGCAGGAAATCTTTCAAAAATCTGCTGCGACAAAGCACTTCATTTGCATTACTTTCAAGAACTATACCTAGTTATCCTCAGAACAAATCGATAGATAATTCATATTGCCTGTGAACTTTCAAAGTTGTGTGATCACTCAGACAATCAAGTCTGAGGAATTTAGATTGATTTTACACCTCAAAATTGGATATCTAAGCAGGCACTCGGTCCTTCATGGGGTAAATCAGCAGCTTCAGCTTTACAATCAACCAGTAGCTCACTGAATGGCAAAAACAGGAAGCAACTAAGGATCTCTTTGGATGGTTTTCCTATGATAGTCTCAAGCAGGCAAAACTACACTTCTCCTAGCCCACCATCACCCAGGTACCTGCTCGCAGTGGTGAAATACCTCTGGGAAATAAACTGGCGATGGTCGCATCCTACATTCTTTTTCAGACGTTTTCATAGAAAGTGAAGGGTACGGCAAGGAAAGGCGCTACGGAAAGAAGAATAGGCGGGAGGCGCGCTAGCTTCTAATCCGAACAAAAATATTGGACAGACTTTGCATTTGCACAAGGTTACATTTCTAAGTAACAAACAAGACGCACATAAGTTACGCACTGTAGTTCTCTGGACCAAACTTTAGTAGGACATATTTTGAATTTGGTAAGACTGTAGCTTTTGATGTTTATAACAACATACCGATGTAGATTGTTCCATTTGCTTCTGTATAGTCTTGGCACCAAGCAATAGTCACATTTGGCACATAACAACCACAACCTTCCAGAAATTCCATGCCCAACAATTCTTGAATCATGGCATTTTACATTCAGTCTGTTAGTTTACGTAACCCAGTAATCGTCTCTAAGATTGCTATTCGCATGTGAATGCAATTGCCAGTAAACAGATCGACGTTTCTGCGGAAGTCGCCTTTGTCAAAACTTTGAAAGTTAGTCGATGAATTCGACGCTCCAAGGGAGGGAGGCTCGCCCCATACCTTCAGCGACTGTTGTCCACTGTTTTAGTCAGGCTACTGACTCTTGTGATGAAGTGAGGTTCCCTTTCAAGGTAAGACTCAAATCCACACATTGATAAGAATGGGATGAGCTCACTACTGATAGCCAATTTTTTCTCCTTTCAGTTTAGGACATAGAACGTAGTATCTAACAAGCCTCTATAGTTTTTCGTGCTGGTCCGTTTCCTTCGAGAGGATAGCAATGTTGATATGTAACTCTATGTTTTGATGGTACAGTACAGATGTGCGCACAAAGGCGTAGACACTCGCGGCTTTCTCATTCCGTATAAGATATATTTTGTAAACAGTGCGAAAAAGAATGTATCGGAGAAACAGGAAGCTGTGCGGCGGCTGTGTGTACGAATTAAGGAACATTTGGACGGAATGAGAAAATCGCGAGTGTCTACGCCTCTGGGCGCACGTAGTGTACTGTGCCATCAGAACATAGAGTCTCAATACAACATTTTTATTATTCGAAATACTATAGAGGCTTGTTGGATTACTTTAAATGTCCCAAACTGAACAGAAAAGACCAAAAAATGGCTATCAGTAGTAAGCTCTTCCCATCTTTCAATGTGTGGATTTAAGGGAACCTCATTGCATCACAAGAGTTAGCATATAGTGGCCTGACTAAGTCAGAGTGGTAAACAGCCGCTTGAAGGATCTCACTTGAGGTGTGGCTACCTTTGGAGCGTCGAATTTATTGACTCACTTTCAAAGTCTTGATAAAGGCGACTCCCGCCGAAAAGTCGACCTGGTTATGGCATTGTATTAATAGCGGATGAGATTCTTAGAAACGCTTACTGACTTATTGAAAACTAACCTTCTAATTTTTTTCCAAGCACCGCAGCGTAGATAGCCGCGAAAAACAGCAATCTCATGCTGCAATTTAGATTAGTTTTTCTGACAAGGTTAAATAACATATTCTAGCGAAGAATATTATGAAATCACAGCAGGCGCAATCATGGACAAAAAACGTGAAAGATTGGCTATTATAAATGGTATTTCAAGCAAACTCCCTTTGGTATTTCCCTGCGACTATATCAGGTTTTCAGAAAACCTTTCAGAGTGAAAATTCAAAAAAAAACAGCAACAATGAGATCGATAAGAGAGATCGATAAAAGAGAGACATTTTGACCCATTGGGCCTTTAGAATGATCTTCTTCTGCGCATTTCCAAAGGGGGAGAGAGAAGAGCAAAAATCACAAAAATCCATAGAAGTAGAGGAATATTTCTTGAGCAGTTTTCAAGCAGTTGAGATAATTTTGATCACGGTTTTTGTTTTTTGTATGCCAGTTCAAGCTGCTTAATTCTTTTCAAGAAATCAAACAGAATTACAACCGTCACTCAATTCTGGACGACGATTCTGCTTGCGCTTTCCCACTTCCCTGACCTGCCTCTTGCACCAGAACAAAGAGAACAGAAACATTAGGTTGTCCCAAAAGTTTTATCGGTTTTTTCACACCACTATAAAATCCGCGCAATAAAAATCTGAATGAATTCCAACATGCGCTCGATGCAATTTCCTTCTCCTTCTTGTGGTTACAATTTCGAACCCAATCCTGTATGCTTTGATAATTGCTAAAACTCTTCACCAGTCATTTTAATTTTCTCAAAATTCGGCTATTTTCTGAAATTCATTCTAAAGTTTCGGAAAGGATTAATATGGCACAAGTAGAGCAACTCCCGTACTATATGGCAATATTTTTAGATTATCCAAATCTGCTGTTTTTAGCTTTGAGAAATCATTTCTTTAAAGGTCTTGATTTTTCACAAAGTCATGAAGCACACAACTGCAGCAAAAACATGAAAGAGTTTAAACTTTTTGCAAATTGACTTGTTTGTCATTGAACATCATTTATGCAACCTATCTAAGCTTGATCTGCTTTGAAAAATCAGCTTTTTGGAATTTTCGAAACCTTTACAAGAAAGAGGATAAAAATCTAAATCAAATGGTACCTAGATCGTCCATAGTTTAATGATCTGTGAGTTTTAGTGAACGTTGAAAGAAACCGACAAAACTTTCGGAACAACCCAATATTTGTAATGGTTTTTGAAGCTTTGTACCAAACTTAGCCTATTTTATCCGCTACTTCCAACATGTAGTGCACAAACCTGCAGTCAAGGTAATGGTTAATATTCAAAAGACCAATACAAACGGGCTGCATCTTGGATGGAGCATACAACGCTGAGTCCAAATCTGTCTCCGCAACTGCTAAATGCCTTTGTAGGGAAGTTAGAGGTTTTATTGCGGGAAAATCGTACACAACAAAAAAGGAATAATAAAAAAGCAAATCTAAGCACAGTCTTGTCCTTTTTGCTCATCTCAAAGTGTGGGTTATATAGAGGAAACTAGCTGCATGTTTTGGTCCAGAATCGAGGCCTTATGGCGAATATGGCTCTTTACTCAAATTTGCACTTTAGAGGCACAATTTATTTTACCAGTCTAACGTCTTATAGTGGCTTAGACTTCGTCTACAGAGGGTTTAATCAAATAAGCAAGGAACCTAGAGCGAAATTCTATGTTGTATCTGATAAAATGCAGCTTGTTTGGGTTGACCACTTGGATTTTTGGCCATTCACTCGAGAGTCTAGAGACGTTCTTTCAGAACATAAGCATGTATACACTGCAGAACGCAAGTCATCAAAATTGATGGTATGTCAGGATTGAAGAAGCATGCTCAAACAAACCCGCATTGGTGTTGGCAACCAGTTCAAAATGAAATGGCTCCTGTATCTAAGCCATCATTCAGCATGCAAGGTGCTATAGATTTACAGTTACTTGAACAGTCACAATAATGCGGTGAGGCGAGATTCTCTATATCAAACGTACAGTCGAGTAGATTTAGCGGTAAATATAGTGTGCTTGCATAGAAGGTGAAATGCGGTAAAATTGGCGCGTGAAGAAATAGTTTCGACTGTGACGCCGGCCAATTGCGCGCGCAAGATACCCGCGGTACTGACGTTGCTACTTGTTCACGCGCAAATTTCACTGCATTTCATCTTCTGTGCAAGCACACTATATTTACCGCTAAATCTACTCGACTGTATTTCTGGTTTTTCGCTATTAAACATGAACGCAGGAAGAACGCATTTTAGCATGTTACAGCGAATCTTCTCAAAAATCTTCGGCCGGACCCTATCAGCTTATATCAAAATCGTTATTTGATTCGTTTCGCTAACTTGAAAATTTTATACCTTCTCAGCATCAGCTTCGCAATACCAAAAGAACAATGGCGTAATTTATGAGGTGCCGCTTACCAGGCGAACTAAGTTTGAATACTATCCCTCTGAAGCGAATTAAGCCCTCTACCCACCGAATGGATAGATTGCTCCACTTATCGCACCTATGACTACATGCCTTCAAAAGTATAAGGTGGTCTCCCATATAGTTCTGCAAGAAAAGCCAAACTTGGCTTAGAATCCGTATGAGAGCATTGAATTGATGTTCTTGTGACTACCTATTATAGAAAACAACCTACTATGCTTCTGAAGACCTGTGCTGTACTATTATCCTAATTTCACGAGTATAGTACGGGATTTTTCTTCAAAAATAAAACAGCACAAAGCCGAAGCATGCGACTAAAAAACTATGGATAGTGCTGCATATTGGCTGAGAGTATCATGTGACATAAGTCGCGTTTACCAAAGTAGAGCGAAACGGCTGAGCGGCTTGCTTGAAAAACAAAAAATGTGCTCCTATACTCGTGGAATTGGGTACTAGTGTGTAAACAGCTTAGCACTGCATTGACAAAAGCATGAAGAACTTCGTTCTCTCAATTTTGAAAAAAAAGAGTTTTAAATGTAATGCAACTGTCTGATGCGAGGGGTATTTCTGCGCAACATGCAAGCTCTTGAAATTTTGTAGATGGGGTTCCGAATTTTCTTGTTTCGGGCTTTGGCTTCTTATATTTGACCACAAGTCTCCTTTGGATTTAAGTTGGTGTAAAAGTCTACGTGCTATCTCGTAGAGCTTGCTTGACTTCATCAAGTAGTACCACGTAATTGCAGTGCATAAAAAGAAATGTGATTTGCAGCACTTTTGACCTGTTCTCGTTCAAGACCTCCGTGTCAACTACTTTATGTCTTTCGTAGAAGTTGCCTTGAAGAATTCATCTTTACAAGACGAACGCGAAGTTTTTTTTTGCACTTGGCAATTTTCGACACATTTCAAAGTCGCCGTTATAGAATAATCTATTCTCTTTTTACGAAAAAAAAATCTAACCATTTTTAGTTGTTCTCACCTTACTAGGCACCTGTTATAAGTTTGAACCGGACCAGGCTCGGGCTACCTTTCGCACTGTAGCTATTCACGATTTCGTTATTGTGACCTTTGTTCCATGATGCCACGCTGGTCTGCATTACTTTTATTAAAAATCAGCTTAGAAGAATGACTTCAAGACTTTGACACTCAAAGGTCTAATTTTAGGGAAAATAACACGTCAGACGTGTGATTTGCAGTATTCCTCCCCCCCCCCCCCCGCCTCGATACAAAGCTGAATGCGTTCCTGAGCTTTTTCCTTCCATTAGGGCTAAGTTACTTACCCAAAAGTGTGTAAGTCTCCATTTAACCAACTATAAGAAAATTGTAAGTTGTGATGAGAGACATCGTTACATTACGAAAGAACGATGATGGAAGAAACTGAAGCAAATTTCGAATGAAAAACATTCCTGTCGTGTTCTAACGCCAGCCCCCGGTGAGGTTCAAATTTAAAATCGTCCAGTAGATATCTAGTGGGGCGACGACAGCAGTATAAAAGATCGCATAGAAAAGAGCTGCTAAAAGATGCAGCGATATAACA